ATTATCGACATCGATATTTTCCGATATTATCGATATTTATACGATATGTGTATGAATACGTTTCAAAATATCCTGGACCCAAAAAAACCTATAATATCCTCGATATTTCGTCGACATTATCGATATTTTACACTATGGTTGAGAGAATTGGATTTTGTACTTTTCTGTTGTGTATAAAAGCATAGACGACTTTAAGATGTAAGGTTTTAGGTTAGCCATTATGGAGCCTAATCTAATGTACTCAGTAAAGATATCTAACAATTACATTGATTTTCAATCGGATAGCATTGCAGCGCGACCAAAAAGACAGCTAAGTTATGGTTTATAACTTTGTTCTTTCAGTTATATTGGAAGAGATCAAACCCTTAACCTATCATAATTCTAATCATAGCAAGTTTCTCGATCCTCCGTCTCACTTGGACTAACCCAAGAGCTTGCATCTTTTTATATTGGCTTACTAGAGCGCAAAAGAGTGGTTAATGCTCAATCTAGTGTGTGAAATGCGTGGATTTATCAATAGAATGTCCCTCAGCTAACATGAGATTTCAGCAGAAAAGTCACAGCTTGCAATTGATTTCTTTTGGGAACTTGGAACTTGGTAGGGCTTAGGATCGATGTGGTAAAAGCAGTGATGATCAAACTTGGAAGTTAGCTTCAATGCTTATACTTTATAGCATATGGGGCAAAGCCACAGATTAGTTGATACAGCATATGGGACACCTTTAAGAGCAGCAAAGCCTCCAGCTAATGCTATACCAAACAAAAACTGAAGCCTCCGCTGTCCTCGTGTAAGAACGAGCGGTAGCATGCCCCTAATGCTTGCTCAGCATGAGAAAATTCCGATATACAACCATTGAATCAACCTCACATTTACATTCAGCCCTTTGCATGTTATCATGTGAGCAATTTTGAGTAACATGAGTTGTATACAACAGTTATATACAATAAATTTTCCACACAAGAGTTGAAAGTTCTGGTTACAGCCTTTGTAGCAAAAATGGCTTTAAGACACTGGCGTTATACATCAGCAATTTTATTAATAAGTTGGGAACTTACAGATTATGCTACTAAGTTCTATACTATGCATCACATGTAACAATGAACAAGGATGAACTCGTCTAATCACAGGAGTGGCAAAAAGTATGAGTCGTTATAGCATTAAAATCATGTAAGAAGTTTCATACAACAAATTTGATATAGGCAGACAAACGGAGCTCCAGAATCCCAAACAAGAAGTCAGAATATGAAGCACCCAACAAAAATCCTATTTAACAGCATGCTTAGTTTTGATGTGCTAATCGATGGCAATAATGAGAAAACCAACAGATACATACAGTAGGAAAACAGGGTAAAGTGCGAGGGCTTTTCTCCTGGGGTTGACTGCTGAACTCATGAAAGGATATGCAGCCCAAGAACTCCAAGCCAATGTTACGCTGACCACAACCACCTTCAATATCACATTGTCCTTTACCATACAGATTAGAGCTCCAATGTCAAGAGGGAATAAGCAATAACCCAGAAGACTCAGGCTCTGGAAGAATATTATGTGTCCACCCTGAAAACACAACTTTTCTTTGAGTTTCTTATTCTGCAAGAGAATCATCTATATCCGATATATATCTAGCATGCTATCTTTCCAGAGTGTGAATCAAGATTGCACATTCATACACGATTCTCCCTAATCTAACATCATGATTTACAATCTGACAGCATAACATGCTGCACATTAAGCGAGAAAATAACTATAATTTGTACGCAGATAACACATACAAGTATGAAAATATGTAACATGCTATACTTTCTTGCACCGCACGAAAGAAAAAAATAACTATTATAGATGGAGCACTGCTACATTCACCAAATTGTTCACCAAAGTGTGTCAGTTTCTCATTTACTCAAATCTGGGCTCACTCTAGACCTCATCCATTTCTAACAGGGTACTAATACATATAGAGAAACCATAACAAAGTTGGTGACAGTAGCATTATTGATATTAGACAGAGTATACATACAAAGTAAGAAGGGATCTTAGTTTAAGGGATCTCCAATTCAGATGCAAACTTGACATCCAAAAACCAACAAACAAATCAACATTAAGTAGAGCGAGAGAGAGAGAGAGATTTACCAGTAGGAGCACATTCAGGGTCAAAATTACAGCACCAGCAGCAAGCACAGCAAAAGCAACAGCAAAAACCTCAGACTGTTCAATAAACAATCCCATTCGTCATTCCATTATGCAAAACCCATAGTGATTAAATCAAATGAGAAAAACCCAGAAACCAAAAACTTGAAAAAGTTAAAGAAGTCACCTTTTTGACAGATGCAGACCAGGAAAGAGTGAGACCCAAGAACACAATGAAGAAGAAAGGTCCCCAGAGATCCCAATCCCTCAGAGCCTTTCCCGGGTCCTCACGATACGGGTTGGGGAACACCACAAGCTTCAAATTGCTCACAATTCTCGACAAGTCGCGCTTCACGGTGTCCCAAACGGGCTCCGTCAGCGTGTTGGGCGGGGACCCGAACCCGGAAGGCACGATACCCGGGCCGGTGTTGGCGGAGGGAATGGGCGGTGGGGCCGGGACAGATGGCGGCTTCTGTTTGGAGGAGGCAGAGGGAGCTGGCGGCGGGAGGTTTGATTGGATGAACGGCGAGGATGAGACGGGGATCGAGGCTCGGGTCGGACTTGGGGGTTTGGCGGGAAGCACTGTGGTGGGGCCCGATTGGACGCTGGCGTTGATTAGGTTTTCGATCTCGTCGATGTCCGATTGGGAGGAAGGGTGGAGCGGAACGGTGTCGCGTTCGGAGTGCGACATTTTTTAGAGTGTTTGGGTCGTCGGGCTGTTTGGGATCTACGAGAGGGGAGGAGGGTGAGATCTAGTGATGCAGGTGGACCAGTGGGGAGGGAAGAGGAGGGCTGTTTGGGAAATGGAAACTTTTGAGTAAACGTCGTCGGTAAGGGATTGATTTGATGGTGAAACTATAAATCAACTAAACGTGAGTAGGGGATTGGAACCAAAAAAAGAAAAACGTGAGTGGGGGATAATGACCCTTACTTAAGAAACACTGTCATGCACCGTAAAGCTATTCCGACTAATAACGCAATGATGACATGTGGGATAATTTTTCCAAATGTCATTGTGTTATTAGATAGGGATAGCAAAACAATGTTATTCCCGTTACAAGTAAGTTTTTATGCCCTTATTAGGCATTGAGTAGATGTTTTCATGTCATCCAGAAATTCCACGTGGACAAGGAGAAATTCTTGAGTGTGGTTCAATGCACCACACTCAAAAGGGAGCATGAGTCCATGCATTTAGGTCCCATTTGGTCTCACCACTTGTGAGCGTGATGCATAATATGGCAGCGGTACATGCTGCACTAGAGAACTTCTTGTGTATAATATAAGGTTGTGCTCGGCCTGGATCGAACCGTCTCACCGGTGAGCCATCTCTTGGGGATCGGCGTTGAATCATCCAAAGCTTCCAGAGAGAGAGAGAGAGAGAGAGAGAGAGAGAGAGAGAGAGAGAGAGAGAGAGAGAGAGAGAGAGAGAGAGAGAGAGAGAGAGAGAGAGAGAGAGAGAGAGAGAGAGAGAGAGAGAGAGAGAGAGAGAGAGAGAGAGAGAGAGAGATCATATCAGATCAGATCAGATCAGATTTAGAGATAGAATGGAGATGAGGCAAGATCCAACTAGATCTAGAGAGGGATAAGATGACTGACACGGAGAAGGTGAGTCGAGACGAGAGAGAGGAGTTGAGCAACGGCGACAGAGAAGAGAAGAGGAGAAGAAGAAGATTATAGGTGGGTTAAAAGGGTGAAAATGTTGTGTGAGGTGGAATATGGTAAGTTTTATGCTAAACTAATAGGCTAAGGCCCAGTTTGAGATTGCTATCACTTTGAAAAAAAGTTGTTTTTGCTGTACTTTGAAAATAATTAGCTGTAAAGTAAAGCAACTCCATGTTGGGTAAACAATATTTTTAAAGTGTTGTTAGTACAAAAAGCAGTGTCAAAATCGTTTAGTAAATTTTAATATAAAACTGTTGTAACTGTGAATAATGACTAAAATAGACATGATGTTGAAAGTGTTATGTGCTAATCATGTGGTGTAGTGGTGGTGGTGAAAGAGATGGAGGTGAAGGTGGTAGTGGTGGTGGTGGTGGTGGTGTTGGTTGTGGAGGTGGTGGTTGTGGTGATGGTAGTGGTGGTGGAGGAGGTGGTGGTTGTAGTTGTTGTGGTGGTGGTGACGGTGCTGTGGCTGTGTAGGTGGTGAATGTGGTGGTGGAGGTGGATGTGGAAGTGGAGATGGTGTTATTTTTAAAAATGAATGATGGTATTTTGGGAATTAAAAAAATTCATTAAATGCTCATTTATGTTTCTTTTGAAAGCAGCTTTGAAAAGCAACTCATAGCCTTTTTTAAAAGCTGCTATAAAAAAGCCACTGCTTTTAAACTAGTCGTGATATTTTATTTTTACCAAACACCTTAAACTGCTACTTTAAAGTGAAGCAGGTTTTTGGCCAAAAAAGCAATTCCAAACGTGGCCTAAGTTATCAGGTACTACAAATTGGTACCATAAAATCTCAACCCTTGTTTAAGGCTACTTCTATATTTGCTTCTAGTGACGTTCTATCAAAATTTCTGCATATTAACGCTTAGTGAAGAATCACTAAAAATGTTTCCTAAAAATGTAAGGTCGTGATTGAAAGTGTTTATGTAAAATTGGTTTTACTTGGTTGTGTTTTTATTAAAAAGCACAGAAAGTTTACATTAAGAATAAAAGCTGTTTATGGAGCCACATACAGCTCTGTCTAGAACTCTTTACCTAGAGCCCTTTTGGAGCTCTGCCTAAAGGAGTTTCCCTATTTCCCTTACTCTGTTTCAACAACAGTATGTCTCCTTTCTGACATGAAAGACTAGTCTTTAAGAAAGCAGACTACAAAATGGAGTCTCTGCAAGTTCAGCACCAGGGAATCAATTGAACCAAATAAAACATCCACTGGACATGACAAAGCAAATAAGCACCTTGGGCATTAATTTCATTAATACAAAAAATCATAATTTATACGTGCCAGCGGCTGAAATTTCCGCAGCTTAGGCATTGTGAAAATTCCAAAACTGGGTCCATCTCCCAAACAATGCTTGTAAAACATTTTTATCGATACACCAAATCCGTAGTTGTCCAATATAATTTGGCTAGCAAATGATACTTGTTGGCTTCATGGGAAAGAATGTAACAAGCTCAAAGGTATTCCAATTTGCATGGAAAGATATCAAGGCTTGAGCGCGAGAGCAAGACCTATCTTTGGGGATGAATTAAGTGCCTTTGAGTCATACTCAGCTGAGACAGTTACTAGTGACTTTGGTCTCCATTCACGTTGCCATAGCACACCAGCTTTCCCATTATCAGAGAATCGTGTTTTTACCACATTGAATGGATCGATTACATGAGAGCTTCCAAGGGTAAAGCTGTTCTCGAAGGTGGAAAATCTATGGGTCAGTTCGGCAGCAACTGCAGTTCCATTGCAGGAGTCAACAGCATGAATGTAAGATGCCTTCAATGTCTGTCCTTTGTCCGTCCTGCATCAACAAACATGAGTTCCAATTACAATGCCAAAGCATTAAGGAATTAACACAGTAACATAAACCCACTGGAACACTACATATGTATTGAAGGCACTGCCAAGAAGTTAGTCCCAACACAGATATCCATGTAGGGGAACGCATTGATAATTGCCTGAAAATTTGATTAAGAGAACTAAGCAATAGAATCTTCTAAATTACTTTGTAATTGTAGAACATAAAATTTAAGGATCCTAATCCATGCATTTTCAAGTCCAACCATGAAAAATGCAGGAGTCAGCAAATGCAGTAAAAAAAATTAATCCCTGCAATCTTGTTGACATAATTATCACCTCCTAGCCATGGACTTCTGATTGAATATCATTTCCCTTAAGTTAGACTATAAACATCACCTTCACCACCAACTAGGAGGTTGGTGGTCTCTCTTATTTTAAGTGGATGTCAGGTTCAACCAATTATAAGTGGGAGTTTGTGAGGAAAGGGATTTTCAATCATTTGGCCAACAGTAAGTGCAAAGTCGCAATCTATGCCAAAACTTGAAACAAGAGTAGAGAATGAGGGGTCCGACTTAGGAAAAATAATTTGCCATGCCCATATCAAACACATCAAAAACCCATGTTCATGATGTGAATTTACTAATATATTACAGATTCGAGAAATAAACACATGAAGATACAAAATCATAAGTAATTTTTTAATACGAGGGGTGGGACAGGACTTCCAGGGACGTCATAGAAACATAAATTATTAGAACAGGAAGAAAGACAAGCATAATTACTTTTCCAAACAAGGAATATGATATGAGGTTTCGTAGACTTACAGCAAAAGCGCTGCAGAGAAATCTGGCTTGTTAAAGCTGATCCCAGCATTGTATTTGGTCAACAAAGAGGATGCTGTGTCAAATCCAATTTCACCACCCAAACTAAGATCCTTACTTCCAATTGTTGCCGACAGTTCCAAAAGAGGGGTTGGGTTCAGGCCTATGCTGGAATCAAAGGCTGCATGAGGATGAAGGTACTGCACGTCCAGCTGCAATTGTAAGAAGAAAGAGTCAAGAATTTTAACAGCAAGCCTGAATTTGGCATTGATTTTCACATTATACCATTAGGAGCTTCAATTTAAGAATTGCACCTACAAACACGTTCCTCTAAGCTAAACTTACGAGAGAAATTAGTTTATTCATAACCAGGATCAAGAATGAGCTAGATGCGCGAGCTAGGATACATAATCTGTGAAAATATACAACTTCAAAACCAAACACGTCTCTTTAAAGCTAACTGTACAAGAGAAATTAGTTTATTTATAGCCAGCATCAAGAAATGAGCTAAATGTGTGAGCTAGGTATACATGATCTGTAATTATACAGGACTTGATAAGCAATTCTTGTTTTGTCTTTGGGGGAGGGGCTGCTGTCATGATTCTGTCTCACATCTGTGGCAACTACTTGAATCTGGGCCCCACCTTAAGAACTGTAATACAGGGCCAACCTTCGGTTTTGCAGACAGATTGAAGGGTGGTGCTGTTTTCTCAAATGAAATCAGTTTGTATCATAAACTAGTAATTTAGAAAATTATGATGTTAAAATTGCTGGATCAAAATCCAAGAATCAATTGAGACAATCAAAGCGAGTTTGGGCTGCAGGGACCATGATAAGATTAACAACTGTGGAAGTCAAAACAAAATAAACATAATAATGGTACCGGAAACATAATGACTTTCTGAGGACTCAAAAGGAATGTGTGCACACAGAGGAAACCACATATCATACAGCTCCATATTGAATGACCATGATTTTTTGTTCTACTTTATTCCTTTAAAAAAAAAATAATAAATAAATTTCCTGTACGCTGAGTTTCACTGACCTTGCCAGATTTGTGATCTGGTATTCTGAAGCTAAACACTGCTTTCGTGCTCGGCAAGATATCACTCACAGTCACTTTTGTAGACACCTGCAAAGAAATAAAAACGTAAAGTTAAAGATACAGTTGAGATCAGAAAAGAAAGACAATAGAAAATGCGAAAAGTGGAGATTTAGCCAAATATACTCACAATATGTGATAGTATCAATAAATATATGGAAAATGAGAGTTGTTTCAAAATAAAATCATTACATTAGAATAACTATCAACTTTCACATCTACAGTAGTGTTTCCACTCTTGTACAGGGTATTTATGTCACCAACAAAAATTTGATCCCTCTTCAAACCATTAGCTGTAAGTCCCTGCAATATTGAAAATTATAAGCCAGATTAGCCACATAACCGAGTGGGAAAAATAAATACTATTTTCTAAAAGCAAACAAAAACATATAGCATAAATGTACTTATAGAATACAGAGAATCCAGCAATACTAGGCATTTAGAAATGCCCAGATGCCCTTCTTTTACTACCTGAAGCCACTGATAAGGGTAATGCCAATTTAAGTTATAATAAGTTACTAGAATGAAATAATAGTGGAAAACAACACTAGATACAGTGAATTTTAGAGCTCCTGCTTGCTGGTAAGCAGAAGTGGGTGAAAATAAAATGTGGGTAATAACATATCTAAAGCTTCACACCAATTTAAGACAATATTACAGTAATCGCAGCAAACAGATGCTAGGAACAACCAAAAAATTTTTGACCAAGAATCTACGTATTCAGGCATGCATCTGGCACTAAAAAAATTTTCAGCTTTACGCATGCACTCAAACTTGTCTTAACATCAGATGTAATTGTATGTACAAAGCATTTTTTCCACTGCTACACAAATCAGCACAAATGTATCATCTTGGGGAGTTTTTTTAGCCAAGGGCATAAACTGATTAACTATTTAGATCATGTCTAATATTCTGATTGATTTGTGAAAATAAATATTGGGGGATAAGGAAGGGAATTTACTAAACAGCCATGATTCTTCTTTTTACAGCGGCTAACAAGTATTGTAGAAAAACAGCAAAGTTTAAATGTATAGCTTTCCAGTAAACAAATCAAACTGGAAGAAAGAACTTAAAATGTAGAAAGTGGAATTAGATAATACCAGCCCAGTGGAGCCAACCACCGACAGAGTAAACTTCTGGTCAAAGTTGTAATCTTTGGTCAAGAGATCTGCATAAAGGAAAGGAACGTTAAGAACAACTTGAACTATACCACTCGAGATAAAAATACTGCAGCTCAAAAAAAGCCAACATTTAATCATCAAACATGAAACAACAAGGAATAATTTTTATGAGAACAGCAAGCAGGTAAAGAGAACAACAAGCCATGTGAAAAGAATTTCTCTGCCATTATGTGGCTTCCACTTTTGGCTATTACAACACTATCTTTAAAGCTTTTCTGTCAAAATTATCATTCAAGAATTCAAGCCACCAAATAAAATAAAATAAATTACAAAATCCATCTAAACTTTCTTGTTAATCTTTAACGCATGAAATCTGAAACTTGATACCTTTTGCTCTCTTTCCAATATCTGAAAATGGTGCTGGACTGCTGCCCATAGTTACTAAGAACTGTTTTAAAAAAAAGTGTCAATACAGATAAATTGAGAATTAGGCAAGAATGGTCCTGCCACTGATGGAAAAATTAAAAATTTAAAAACAGAAAAAGCATAATTTGAGCAGTAATAAATGCAAAGTATTACCCAACAGAAAGAATAATGCAATGCACGAGCAAATTATTTGTACAAATATTTATTTGTGTTCCAACTTATCTTTGAGCATGGCGTTTTTAAGAAAAAGTTAAGCAGGGCCTTTTGGTCATCACCAAAGAAAGAAAACATCTTTACAATATTAGAGTACTTAACAAAGACTCTAATGGAAACATGTCACATAGTGACTTCTTCAAGACGATGATATATTAAACTTTTGATACCTCAACATAAAGACATCATTGAATTCCTAGTTGATGACTCATTTTCAGAAAAACTATAGATTAATATCTCACTAAACCGCATTCACAAACACAAAGAATGTTTGAGTTCAAAACGAAGAGAATATAATGAATACTTCTCTTCCAGACTTTAATCTACATAATTTTAACCAAAATTCTGAGATCTCAATACCCAAGTGTTATGTCATATAAACACCAGCAACCTTTGGTTATTCCGGGGCCTTAAAGCTAACTTCAAACTAACCCCCATAGTTCATCTGAGCCTAAACTTCTTATAAATCCAGTAACCCAAAAGATTTCAAGACCAAATCTGACTGATGCTACCGAGAAAACCAGCATAAGCTCCAAAGATGAAAGGGTGATTGGGTCCACTTAAACTCACACTATTCCCCAAAAACGTAAAAGTAAATCATCATCTAGCACTATCTCAATCAAACAAACGGGAGAGCCCTTCATGGGTCATTTCACAAACATAGATTACCCAACTCAAATTAATAAGAAAGGATCCAAAATTCGAAACACCCACATTGGTATTCTCTAACAAATCGAAGAGAACCCATATCAAATAAAGAAAGAAATTGTTCGATTTGATTCTTAAGACTTTGACATGAAGCTATACATGATAAACAGAGCTAAAACACGATTCAGAGAGAAAGAGAACCAATCTTACGGAGAAGAGATCGCCGACAAATATCCTGAAGTGACCGCTTCAGGCGAGAGAGAGCGAAAGAGCGCTGAACAGTGAATATCTAGTGTTTATGGGTTTTGCGAGAGTGTGGTGCGCGAGAAGAGAGCGAGGCGCAGGGTCAACGTCTCGAAGAGCCATCGCGGGTTCTGATATAATTACCTGTTGGTAAAAGAATGGTCGAGATTAAAATTTGATTCTAGGCTAGCACCGCGTGGCGGAATTTAATTGGTGGAGTGAGGTAGGTGGGTCAATGGGCTGTGACAAAGGAGTTTTGACTACGGCGTGGACGGGATTTACCAGAAAGACCGGAGTAAACCGGTAAATGACGTTTATGCCCATACATTGGGTGTGCTGCGATTCCATTACTGCTTTATTGCGTCACTTTGTTGGCATGAGCACTAGGGATGGCAACGAGCCGGTTCTCGCCCCCATCCCTGATAATTTTTTTTTGGGAATACCCATCCCTGTTCTCATTTCTATCGGGGGTTGTCTCCCAAACCCGCTCCAAATCCCTAATTTTGTTCTCAAAAAAATATATTTACTGTACATTATAACACTTAAATTTCACTTCAAACTATGATTTAATTTAGTTATATTCAACAGAAATATAAAATTCTACTTAACTAATCAAATCATCTCAATTTTTGAAAAACTTCATATTCTCCACACCAAAGTATAAAATTCAATTCAACTATCATGTACCTTTTGCTTGTTATATTATATTATATATAATTATTAATTAAAAATAAATATATCACTTATTTGGCTGGGTTCGGGAATGAGGATAACAATACAATCCCCCGCCCATCCTCAATTGGGAATTTTAAAAATTTGGGGATCCATGTACCCATCCCCGATTTCCCCCCAAAATCTTCTCCCCATTAGGGGCGGGGACTCGGCTCGACCGGGATTTTTGCCATCCCTAATCGGCATGGATTTTTGTTTATTTCTCAATTTAATGGTTGGATGATTTTTCTATATTTTTCTCCTTTATTTATTTATTTATACTAATGATATCAAAAGACAAATAAAATATAGGATTTTTTAACCGACAAGAGAATGTTTTAAATTACTTGAACTACAAATCCTTTAGTAATAAGTGGGCGAGTAATAAAAGAATGCGATTTTAGAGACAAATCATGTATTACACGATAAAAAAAATATGATTTTAACCAAATAATTAAACAAATATATATTACATTAAACTTAAAGAAATAAAAAAAAATACATTTCATATTTTGATCCGTAAGCCATAGAGACTTGCTATGATCAAAGGATTTTCATATGTGTTGATACTTGGTTTTGCCCGAGCCAATTCACAACTATCCACCATGTGCAGTGGCGGAGCCATAGTGAGGTCAGTGGGGTCGCACGACCTCTTGGAAGCCATGGAAATAGGCTTAGAGGTCCCTTGGAGTTGGGGGAGAGACCCATTGGAGTTGCACACCAGGTGCTCGACGTTTTTCCTGAGGAAGGAAGGAGCTGCGAGGAAGAAGAAGCACTGTTGTTTTTCTTTTAAACATCCTGGGCAAAACTACGTTGTTTTGACTCAGGAATTGTCTTTAAAATGGCTTGGCCCAGCAACTCCCCCCAAAGTCCAAACCCACCCAACTTTATCAAATCTGGAAAATATTGGCCAAAGTTTAATATACACCTTTGCCCAACAACCCTTCATATTTCCCAACAAGATTTATGAAAAACATAAAAATACTAAAATAATTGTTATAAAATATCATGTCTCTGCTCTATTCAACTCAAACACTCAAATGGACTCCTAAAATCCCCAAATTCTATTATTTTCTACCCTAAACCCTAAACTAAATCTCCCCCCCAAACCCTCAACATGGTTGAAAATTTTATTCTCTTCCCTCTCCATCTCTGATTTTATAAATGTATTGTTCTTGGTATACTTATGTTACATTCTTTTGTTTGATGATAATGCCTAATATTTTTATTGGATAATGATTTATTGGAATGGATGACTATTGATGATTTTGTGTGTGGATGATTTATTGGATTGGATGACTATATATGATTATTTGATTTGTTGGAATTTAGGGTTTATGATTAATTTTGTGATGGATAACTTATAATAAGATAGGTTTGTTCATTTGTCTTAATAAAATTTGTTTCTTTAAAAAAAAAAAATAGTTGACTGTTTCGTTTGATTAATTCATGCTTAAAATTACGGAACGATAAAAGGAAAGTAATAGAAAATTATCTTTTAGTGTTAGTTTCATCTTTAAAAAAATATCGGAACTTTTACATTAAGACCCCTTAGGGTAACAATCATGGATCCGCCACTAACCATGTGGATGGCCAAATTAACAAAGATCTTGATACTTAGTCCCACTATACTCGACCATACTCGACAGGAAATTTGTTATGCCACCAGTTGCAACTAATTCTAATCGGGTCCGACATGCTCATCCGACGAGAACATTTAGCTAGAATTAGTATGAACCAAATTAGGTGCACGTGGAGCTTAGTTGCATAACAACCCCTCTAAACCCACATGCGTGACAAATGTCATCACATGGCTAGAGCTTGCATTGAATGCATTCCTAATCTAAGCCATGTGTCACCTTTTAATTGGTCCTTTCTGCAATCAGCAGATCCGGTCATGACCAAGCACATCCCATATTCACGATGACACTATGGGCGGACACCCCTTCCCTTGGATTCAAGGAGACCTCCCTTCCTACTCCCATTTAGCAACATGTTGTGTGATGTTTTGGAAATATTATTATTTAATTTTTTGTATTTGTTAGAAACCATGTGATGGTAGGGTTGGGCATCTAAAGCCGAAATACCGAAACCATACACGGACCGTACCGTATCAAACCTGTTTCATACTGTTTCACTTGGTATTAAGCTCCATTGGGTATGATACCGTACCGTGTCAAGCGCATATGGCAAGGGAGTGGTATCGGGTATTTGGTATCGTTCAGTACCGTATCATACCAAACATGAGTAAGTTTTAAAGCATATTGCACTATTCAGTTTTGCACCTAAAGGGTGTTCCTAAAATAAAATTATTTGAGGGATCCCTAAACCCCTTCTATTAAGGGATCCCTCAAATAAAGAGGGACGCCCTTTAAGTTACCCTACGATTTTTTTTTTTCAACGATCCAAACCATATATTTTTTTAGGTTTTCATTTATAAATCATTATTGCAAAAAATTAAACAAATCGGAAACCCTTTAGACATCTAATTGTGTCCTACAAAATCAATGAACACGGTGCTTCAAAAAGTACTAAAATTTCAATAATTTAATTGAGTGGTCAAATGATATCGGATTCAAGTGTTTTTTTGCAGAGATTATTTTTGGATGAATATCTACAAAATAAATGGTTTAGATTTGTGAAATACAATGCGGAATAGCCCTACAAGGGTGTTTCTCAAATAAGCTTATTTGAAGGATCCCTCAATGAAAGCTTTATATATATATATATATGCTAGGATCCTTTAAAACATAAAAAATTCTCCCCGATTTTCTTTTATAGATAAGAGTAGTTTAGAGCATTATCCATTACTATGAGGCCATTACCCGAGTCTCTATTGTCCATTTTGATTTTTTTATTACCCATATAAAGAATTTAGCATTTTCACATTTAATATTTGTATTATACACGTATGTACATACGTATTTTTCAATAATCCATTCGTAATCTATACACATCTTGGGCTCTATGATTTAAATTAAACCCGATTAGTTAATTAATTAATTAATTATTTGAATTATTTTTAAAATTCAAATATCATATAAAAAATTCAAATATCATATAATGTTTTTGTCTGATTGAGTTTGTCCTTATCTGATACCTGTTGGAATAGGTATCAACCACTATATTTAAACACAAGCCCTGAGTTTGTACAATTACATAAAATTTGCATAGCATATTCATATCATCATTCTTGTATAGCTTCAGAGATAAACACACAAATTTCACCAGAAATTAAAGCCCTAGTGCTATGACTTTGATTTAGATAGTTGTATCTTGGTGGAGCAAACGCCTGCAGAACTATAAGCACTGAGTAAGGGTGAAATTCTATTTCAAGGACACTGCAATTCTGCAATAACAGTCAAATTTTAATTTATACCCATATTTAATTTCATTATTCTATTTGCTGTTTAATTAAATTATTGGAATAATATTGATTGTTGTTCCTCCAACAAGTTTAACTCGAGAGAACGAGTTAAATCAAAGTCAAACATTCACACAAAAAAGAAAGAAGAAAAAATTGAACTATTAGATTGATTTGCTGTGAAATTTCTCTCTTTTCAATATCCGCTTTGGATATGTTGAAATTAGCCAATTAATATCAATAAAGTATAAACCAATGCAAATAGGAAGATTTTTTTTAAAATTTTTTTAACAGGTATGGCCGCGCGGCTATACTACGGTATTTCTTTTATTAAAAAAAATAGTATAGCTGTTTTTGACATGTGGGTCTCTCTTTAAATAATAAAAAAAAAAACTAAACTAAACCATATAGCCATATAGCCGCGGCTATACTTGTTTTCACACATGGCCACCTACTTAATCACTAGGCGGGTCTTTTTTTATTTATAAATCGTATAGCCGCGCGGCTATTCTTGGGTTTTTTCTCAAAACAGTATAGCGGCACGGCCATACTTGTTTTGACACGTGGGCACCTAAGCGCTATGCGGGGCCTTTTTTCCTATAAATAGTATAGCCGCGTGGCGTTACTCGGATTTTTTTAATTACAATTCTTTAATAAATAGCATAGCAGTATATATATATATATAGTTAAATAATATACTCATATACACACAAAGACTTAATATGTTCATATGTTATTAGTTGTTATTATAATTTATATGGTGATAAATATATACATATTTTTCATATTAGTTAGTCTTATTTCTTGAATTAACATTTTGGTGTTTTTTCTATCATTTGATGTTAGTTTTTTTTCCTTTTGGAGCAGGTCCTCTATAAAATAGAAGCACAAAAGATAGCAAGAAAACTATCTAAAATCCAAATGTGAGAGGCAAGGACGATAGCGTAATCTTTAAAACAGATTTGCAGCCTGAACCAAACACTATGAAACAAAAGATAGAATAAAAGAGGAATCTTGGACACCTCTTCAAATTGCTCACAAGGAATATCAAACAATCACCACATAAGAACTACATC